TGGAGTGTAATGGTACAATCTCGGCTCACTGCAACCTCTGCCTCCCAGGTTCAAGCGATTCTCCTGCCTCAGCCTCCCAAGTAGCTGGGATTACAGGAATATGCCACCACGCCCAGCTACTTTTTTGTATTTAGTAGAAACGGGGTTTCACCATGTCGGCCAGGCTGGTCTGGAACTCCTGACCTCAGGTGATCCACCCGCCTCGGCCTTGCAAAGTGCTGGGATTACAGGCGTGAGCCACCGCGCCCAGCCCATTAGCTACTTCTTAAAAGGATCTTTCTTCCAATGCAGCTGTGGATCCAGTGAGAAGTAGGGTTTACTTCAGACACCCGCCAACTGACACTATTTCTCATCTCCTTCCTCCTTCTGTGAAATCAGCCTGACTTGCACCCACCCTAGAGCGTCTTTGATTCCAACAGTATCTCACAAATATTGCAATGCACACACACCACTGGGACTTGGTTATGATGCAGATGATTCTATTTTAGTTGGTCTTTGTGGGGCCTGGATCCTGCAATTCTAACCAGCTGCCAGGTGATATCCACTTTGTGGACAAGGCTTAGGAATTCCTGGCTCCCATTTCAGACCTATTGCATCTCAATTTCTTGGAGGAAGGCTGGTCGGCTCCCCCAGGGCACGCTGCACTGTGATGAGTTAATGCCTGGGTTTAGAAGCTGGTCCTCCATGGGGCAGCTGAATGGTACTGCCGCCCTGGCTTAGATATTCACTCCCTAGGGTTGAAGCTGTGTCCAGGGGGGTGAGTCACCAGAGGAAAACCAGAGGGTCTCCTTCTTCCTACTGTCAACAGCATCCTCAACTACCAATGGAGAGCCAGCTGTGTGCAGTGGTTGCCAAGATTACAGGGGCTCAAAGGTGCTGGCCCTGCTTCTAGAACATCCCTGACTGGCTGGGGTGCCACCGGGGCTAAAAGAGCTGAAGGAGCAGAGGATCCGAAGGTCATTGTCTTACTTTTTTCTGTTTTTTAGACGGAGTCTCGCTCCGTCACCCGGGCTAGATTGCAGTGGCACGATCTTGGCTCACTACAAGCTGCGCCTTCCGGGTTCACGTCATTCTCCTGCCTCAGCCTCCCAAGAAGCTGGGACTACAGGTGCCCACCACCACGCCCGGCTAATTTTTTGTATTTTCAGTAGAGACGAGGTTTCACCATGTTAGCCAGGATGGTCTTGATCTCCTGACCTTGTGATCCGCCTGCCTCAGCCTCCCAAAGTACAGGGATTACAGGCGTGAGTCACCACACCCGGCCCATTGTCTTACTTCAAAAGTGAAAAGCCAGTGTCTCCTTCGGGGAGGACCCCCACAACTCAGCCCAGAGCCGGCTGCTGGGGTATGTTCACCCACCCAGTTCCCTACAGGTGTCTCATCTTGTCCTCTGTCCACCATGGGTCCCAGCGCTTGGCTGAAAACTGCCCTCAGCTTCCAATCTTGACTATAACAAAATTTAAGGTCCAGGGAACTAAAAGTAAATTATGTTCTCCAGCTCCCTCACACCCAGGCGAGTCAATCACTTTTGCAACATTAACCTGCTCATTTCCTGTCATTCTGGTAGCTCTCTGGGGATTAAGATAACGCTAAGGTAAGCACGCTGTTAGGTTACTGAATTCCAGGAAAGTCACAGGCAGGCAGGATGGCCTTCTTCTCTCCGTTACACAAAGGGGGAACTAAGGTTCGGCGAGATGACCTGCGCCATGTCGGGGACTAGTCAGTGGCAGAGCTGGACTCAACCCCATGTCTGCTGGCTCCCAGCCTGACTTTCTTCCCATCATCCTTAGCTCTTTGCTTAAACATTTACTCCCTGGTGCTGGGGATGTGGCTATTTAGAAGGGGTGGTTTTACCAGACAGTTTTTGGGAGGTCACAGAAACCCTTGTTTCTAAAAAGGCCCTGTGGTCTCCAACAGCCACCCCTCAGCCAAGCTGCTGGCTGCACGGTCCGCTGCTCGCTGTCTGTGGAGGCCTCACCTGGCTCTGCGTTTTGCTTTCCTTCCTCACTGAGCAGACTCTGGCTCCTGCTACTACTCCCCCAACTGTCCTCCACCCACCTTTGCCCTCCTAGGGGGAGGCTCGAATGGTTACACCCGGATCCTCGTTGCTTGGCGAGGCCCACATCGTCACTACACAGGCAGGGGACTCCCAGACCCACTGCCTCACCTGGACCGCGCCCTCCTCAGCTGAGGCTCCTCCATTCCATTGCCCTGGAGGAGCCGACCGTGCCAGGGTCAGCTCAGCCGTGTTCCTGCTCCGGCCCAGCTGGTACACAGGATCCCCTCCCATCAGCAGCACTGGGCTTCAGATACACCACGGGTGCTGCTTCCTTAGATCATCCCAGACAGCCCGATGCCCCGAGCTGGCCAGCAGCCACAAGAGCAGCCCCAGAGCTCCAGCTCAAAGCCCACAGGGGCTGCCTCCATTTCCGGCAACACTCAGCAGAGGCAAGGATGGGGCTGGGAGTCAGGTGAACCTAGATCCTGAGCCCACCTCCCCACTGGCTTGCCCTGTGCCTTGGGCTAGAGCCCCGATTTCATTTCTAAAAATGTGGTCCTATAACCTGCCCCCTTGGAGTCACTATCATCGCTATTGGCTGTGGTCGTGAATGTAGGTGCTTGCACACAGGGTTGCTCAAACATTGTTCCATCCCTCCTTTTTCTAGCCAACCGAGCAGCTCAAGATCAGGGAAACCGCGCATTTAGGGCAAGATCATTAATCATCACAGTGTAAACACAATCCTTAGCTTGCGCTAAAGCTCTTTCCAGGAGAAGGAGGACGTGAATATAAATGAGAACCTGCACATTTACCTAAAACTCAGCCCTGCTATACCATCCCCCAAGATGGAGAGAAAACCTGAAGTTCAGCAGTTCAGCAAGGGGCACCCACAGAGCATGGGTGGAGGGCCACGGGCCAGACACAAGCTTGAATGGAAACTGTTTCAGGCCGGGTTTTACGGTCTTCATCTGGTTCAGTAAGAAATCCTTGTGCAACTGGCCGAGTCAATATTTTATTAAAAAACGCATAAACACGTGTACAATGGTAACAAAGGCAGAGATGGAGAGGAGACGCGAGATCTCCTTAGGGACAGGCTAACCACATAGTGTTTCTACAGGCACGCCTCGCTTCAGGAAAGAGGGTATCTCTAAGACAGGACTGACAAGCTAGATAAATTAGGAGGGAGCTTTGTTTCTTAAGGCGCTTCACTCCCCGCTGAGGAGTGAAGTAGAAGGGATTTAGGCAGGAGTATTCACAAACCCCTCCAGCTGTGCTAAGTGGGGTTCATCAGTACCTGAGGTGGTTCTAGAAGCAGGAAGGCAGAAAACAGATTTCCCTGGAGGCTGCTTTCCTTTTCCAGAAGGGGGGGAATATTCTCCCTGGAAGGCTGGAGGAAGAGTTTCCGGCAGGCTCAGGAGCTCTGGGAGCTGGCTTCCGGGGAGAGCAGGAAGAGGGGGCAGGCCTTTCCTGGTTCCCACCAGCCCGACAGGACTTGGCACAGGAACACAGGTCCACAGGCCTCGCCTGGAGTACGCGTCCTCTTTGCAAAGCTCTGAGGGGCCCAGGGGTTGTGGCCTCATCAGACGGCTGCATCTTGGGAAGGAAATGGCAAAGTCAGGACAGCTTGCCAGGGATGTGGGCCACCCACAAGCCACACTCCACAGGTTTGACTCCAAGTTCTGCTCGGGGGGCACCTCTGTCCTCCACCCAGCGCCGACTTTCACTGAGATGATTCTATTTGTTAAAAATACATTTCCAAACAAGAAAAAAACTTCGGTAGCACAGAGGAGACTCCCATCCCCACGCCCCACACCTCAGTCTTACCTCAGCAGTAACCTCCATAAGCCCTTTAGTTGTTTCTTTTGGTGATTCTTTCATAATTTAAAAACCGACTTATACCAGTATTTATAGATTTATCCTGTTAGACATCACCTATTAACTTCTTTTCCCCTCTACATTCTCTACTTTTAAAAATCATTCTTTTTTGTCTTAAACAGCTTTACTGGGATATTTTAATAATTCATATACCATACAATTCTCCCATCTAAAGTGTTTTTCAGTATATTCACAGGACTGCGGCAACCACAATTTTAGAACCTTTGCATCACCTCAAAAAGAAACCTCATCCTCATTAGCAGTCACCCCTGAGTTCCCTCCCCCAAGCCCCAGGCTGCCGTAGGTCTACTTTCTGTCTCTATGAATCTGCCTGTTCTAGACAATTTTTATTAGAGAAATCCTACACTCCATGGGCTTAGTGTAGGATTCCATGAGTAATGCCCTCAAACAGGAGGCAAGTTAAATAAACTGCCCAGTCAGGCCATGGACTTAATGCTGCAACCCACGGAGCCACTAAGAATTCCTAATGATGCTGGGAAAATGTTTGATAGGTGGCTAAGGAGGAGAAAAAACAGGTTATGAAATAGCACATGAAGTTTGATCCTTTTAATAAAAGCAACAGATACGTATTTTTTCAGAGAGAAAATACCGAAAGGATAGATACTCAGTGCTACTTCTGGGTAGTGTGATGACAGATGGCTTTTTCTTAATTTTTTAAAATACATTTTTCTTTTTTTTAGAGACAGAGTCTCACTATGTTGCTCAGGTTGGTCTCAAACTCCTGGGCTCAGGTGATCCTCTTGCCTCAGCCACCTGAGTAGCCGATACTATAGGTACACACCGCTGTCCCTGGCTCAGACGGTTTCTATTAAAAATATGTTTTTATCTGTATTTTCTAAAAACCTACATTTTATTTTTGTCATTAGAAAACTTAAGAAAAAGCTGGCTGGGTGCGGTGGTTCATGTCTACAATCCCAGCACTTTCAGAGGCTGAGGTGGGAGGACTGCTTGAGCCCAGGAGTTTGAGACCAGCCTGGGCAACATGGTTGACACTCCATGTCTTTAAAAAAAAAAAAAAAAAAAAAATTGAAATTAGGCATAGTGATGCTGCACACATGTAGTTCCAGGTACTCACGAGGCTGAGGTTGAAGGATCACTTAAGCCTGGGAGGCAGAGGCTGCAGTGAGCTCTGATCGCACCACTGCACCAGCCTGGACAACAGGGCAAAACCCAATC